GGGGCCCTACCGTTCTCGTACCACTCAAAGGCCCGGGGGAGGCGCTGGTGGCCCACAATTCCCAGCGGCCGACCCTTCCCCATTTCCCTTGCACAGACCACAGAGCGGCTGGCCTAGAGGGGCTAGCAGGAGTAGAGGTCGGCCCCGATGTCCTCTCTTACGGCAGGGAGGAGTTTCTCAGAAACACGGAGTGGGGGAGGGAGGGGGTGAGAGAGCCTTGATGCCGGCGTGCATGTCTTAGGTTGCTTTATTTTCTAAAAAAATCAGCACCTTCCCCGCCGTTTCCATTTGCTCTGGTCTTTCAGACACCACTGCCTCCCCACCACCACCACCACCCCCGAAGGCAATAAAGACGGCTGTCCGCAGTTTTTGTGTCCCTCTAGTCGAAGAGTGAAGCTTTAGGGCCGGCGATGAAGCCCTTCCCGGACTCCGCCACGTCAGCTCACCGGGCGAGTTTGGGTCGGATCAGGTTTTGAGGGCTCATTTCTGAAAGAAAACAAACAGTGCTCCCTCTAAGCTGTGGAGTCTTGTGGGGGGGGAAAATTCTACTTCGTGAGCTGCCGGCATCAAAGTCGTGAGCGAGCGATTTGGCCGTTGCGTAAATCAGTCTGCTCTGGAGCCCTCCTTCCTGAGCGAAGGCAAAAATGTGTGCGCCGGAGGCTAAAAAACTGTGAGGTAGCTCGCATTAACTCAGCTTAGAGGGAACACTGAAGACAGCATCTGCAGGAGCTCCTCTCCTTGCTGACGTGGCCCTTTGCGCCATACAATTTTTTTGGGGGGGGGGTTGTTTTTGTTTCTGTAAGCATTCACACACCCGTAGCCTCAAGTGGTTCAGCCCAGGAAAGGCTCCAGCGCTGGATTCCGCCAAGACAAACCAGTCCGTCCCTTTTTTTCTCGGCATCTGGCAAATTGTTTCTCACCTTCCCACTCCCCGAGGCGGTTGCTGTCCTGGCACCGGGCGACTTGCCTTTTTGGAAGCGGCTCCGTCACCCCGCCCCTCGGAGGTGGCAGCGGGAGTCCTGCCATTGAATCGGAGGTGGACGGCTCATTTTTCTCCCTCTCCTTTTATCTGCCTCCAAATGTAGCTATTACCGGGGAGAGGCTGCCGTTGCAACCCTTCCTCGCCGGCTTCAAACGGAGGTTTGCACTTTGCTCATCAGTGAAGTAACAACTAAAAAGTGCGGGGAAAGAGAGAAGCTGCGCCAGTCCAAAGTGAAACCGTCCCTTCGGCGTCCTGCCGGGCTGCAGTTCCCAGGTCCCTTTGCAGCAAGAATACCCAGCCAGGCCAGGTTCATTCCACAGCATCTCTCTCCTGGGGTGTGGGCGACTGCCAGGTAACTGGAGGGGTGGGTGTGTGTGAAAGCGGGCTAGCAGGGGCTCTTCAGCTCCCGGGCCATCTGGCAAAGGGCGCAGGGGCAGCAGCAGCAGAAGGCAACCCAGTCGCAGCAGACGCAGCCCTGGGAAAGGGAAGACGGATGTCAGTCAGGCTACTGAGCCACCCTTTCCTGAGCGAAGACAAAAATGCGAACCGGAGGCTAAAAAATGTGAGCTGGCTCGCACTCACTCAGCTTAGAGGGAACACTGCTCAAGATCCTTCTCAAACTACAGGTCCCAGAACTTCTTTTTTTTGGGGGGGGGGAGCCATGTTAGTAAAGTGGTATGAAATCAGTATCCGTTTTGTCTCGTGGCCATGCGCCATTTGGCAGTTTTGCTAAGGGCTCGCAGGCCCAGCCCTGTCAGCGAGCCGGTCTGTCTCTTCCCTAAAGCTTTTCCCCTGTAAGGCGCTCCTGATGAGGCACGGGGCTTTTGAAATGGGGGTGGTGGTGAGGCGGGGTGGGCGCCACAGCCGGAGTTAACCGCTGCCTTTTACACCGAGGTCCCTACAACTCTGTCTGTGGTGGCTGGCTGTGGGCGATCCACTGAACTGACAAGATGGTCGACGGCAGCTCACTTTGGGGAAGGGAGGGGTGCGACCTCAGCTGCCGGGGAGGGGGAAGAGTTCTAATCTATACCAAGTCAAATGCTGCCCCCCCCTCCCGGGTATGTATTTTCCTCTCAGCTTCATAACTTCTTGCTTCAACCTAGCTATCCCGCCTAAGCCTAGAGCCCGTTCTTCTCACAGCCTTGCTGGTACAGAGACACGACATCCGTCGGTGAGAGAGAGTTCTTTGTAAGCCAGCTGCACGACGCTGACCCTGCCTCCTTCGCTCTCTGTGTCCCTCTTTCGCTAACCACCTTGGAAACGCCTGCTGTTTTTGGGACGCACGAGCGATCCCGCTCATGCATCGGCCAGCCGGGAAGGCGGTTTCGTTGGCCGCGCGTCTCTCGGCCGAACGGCCCGCTCTGGGAAGCCCGAAGGGAAAGGGAAGCCGGTACCTTGATGCGCAGTTGTTCCCGCAGGCCCGTCCGCATGGCCACCAGCGCCCCCGGGAGGAACGGGACGCAGCAGCACTCGCCGTACTCCACGCCCACCTTGCAAGCCAGGAGGCAGGGGAGGAAGATCCCGCAGAAACCTGGGGGAGGGAGGAGAA